ATAACTATCTGTAGACTGTTGGCCTAAGAGAAGGCGTCCATGAGAGATATCGTGCAAAGACCCCTGATCATCCTAACAACTTAAATATTAAAACAATATAAAAAGGGATCCTTTGTAAAGCAAGGAGGCTCACTAAATGACTCTGAAATACTCAACTGAAACAATGAGGCGTTGGATATTGATCATGATGTAGGTCAAATAGTATCAATACATTGAATGTATGAGCATGTGAGGAAAATTCTAAACAATACATAAGATTGAAAGACAACTAAAAGAACTTATATGGTCTCAACTCACTCCTGTCATTTTAATATATAGCAGTAATATAAATGCAATTTAAAAAAAAATATTTTCAAACATGTAGGTAACAACTCTGTGTATTGAAAAATACAACAATAACTTAGTTTGTATATGAAAATACAAGTAACTCTGTGTATATAAAAATACAAAATATTAATACAACAATAACTTAGTTTGTATATGAAAACACAAGTAACTCTGTGTATATAAGAATACAAAATAGTTCTGTGGGAGTTTCTCTAACCGCTAGCCATCACTATGAGATATGTGATGATACAACATCTTGACTGACGTTGCCAAGGTTGTTCTATACCTTTTCGGGGGTGTAGAACCTAACTACTAAGAAAATTCACTAGTCTATGCAAAAAAACACTAAGGAAAAATCTAGAAAGTATGACATTTTTCTACCCATGCAGGCCACACAGTTTATGGACACTTTGAATTATCTGAATTCAAGGTTGTCCGCAAATCAGTGTTCAATACCTCTCCCATAAAGTAACTAGCTCATATATTTAAAATGTAACTTTTTTCTGTGGTTTGAGATAATTACTCAAAAATTAGCGCAAATGCTCCTTGGAAACCGGTATTTCCTCTCTTGTTTAAATGTGAAAAAATTTACTCTTTGGGAATAATTAGTTCTCATATACTGTTTTGAAGAAAATGAACTTCATTTGTTACTCTTATTCAACTCAAAATTCAAGTTCTAAAACTTAATTTTCCTTGAATTAGAATTTATGGATTCAAGGTTCTGATTCATGTTTATGGATGATATCATGATGTTTAAATTTACTTTAGAGTGTAGAAATTAACTAGAAAACATAGTTGTGGTTCAAAGGAACTCAAACAGAACAAAGAGGGAAAAGGGGAGAGGACCTAGCGACCTGGCATATTGAGTAGCGTAAGGTGCCAGATCCTATCCTACAAAAGCTGGCTTGAGGCATGTTGAGTGGCGCATCGCCCCAGAGATCAGCCCAAAGAATCCTCATCTTTTTACCCAGAAAATCCACGAATTTACTTGTTCACTATTCGACCGTAAAACATCTAGATTCGATTGTTTTCTTCCCCAAATACATTTATTTGAATACCCAACAGAAGTGTAAAAGAATCTACTCAAAAAACAACCTCAAATCTTATGCAATTAACTCAAGACTCCTCAACACTTCAACAATCAAGATCCCAATAGAAAATTCAACAAAATCCATTAACAAGTGAATTACTCTACTTTTAAGAACGCAAATATGCTGAATTAAATCATGATAAGTGCGTGGCTGAATAAACCCAATGCTATGTTAACTCACATACCTCGTAAGAATTAGCCCTTGGCGAAATATGCAAGCGAAATCTCAAGAACGCGACAAACTTTGGCTTTTCTCGTCTTTTCTTCTCTCTTCTCCTCTTTTCTCTTCTCTCAAAGCCGTAGCATAAAATTTGAAAGCATAAACTAAACCAATTTAGTTTTGACCCCTAATTAATAAATAAAAATGAAATAACTTAATTCGTAATGAAAAGACCAAAATACCCCTCTTAAATCCAATTAACATTTCATATCTAGACAATCCAGCTTCAAATTAGAAATATAATTCGAAGACCTTTCAATTATTATCTTGTAGCCTACCTAACTCATCGTGTACAAAGAGTTATGGTCGTTTGATGTTGACCCAAACTCATACTTAACCAACATTGCCAAATTTCAGATTTTACTCTTTCCAAAATTGATTCATTCTAATTCTAGTTCTTTCAAATAACGAGGTGTTACAAGAAAAATGAAGACCATCTTGAAAACCCTACTGATATAGGAATAGGACTATTTTTGGTCCTGATTAAATGGTCCTTTTTTGTTATATTTTCATTTCTTTTGTCTTTTGTTTTATTTTTTATTTGCATGGGTCTGAATATTATTATTTTTGTTAATCAATAAAAAATGAACCCATGGCTCAATTTTCTTTAAAAAGTGTGCTTAAAATGACGGAAAATATTTTTTGAAAAATACTTTGTCAATTTTCTCATGTATAATTGGTTATGTTTTTGTGGTAATATATTTTCTTAGCAAAACAATTTCCTTGAAAATTAAGAGAAATAACTTCTCTAGTTCAAATAAGATCAACAAGTTCCCTTTGACATTTAATATTGATTGGGTCATCCACATCCCCCAGAAAGGGCCGAGCTAAAGTGAGTTCATACAACCTTCTCCGATTAAAAATTAACTTTACATACAAGGTTAAAATTATTCTTATATCCATAGTGAAAGTTTAATATCTTTGATTTCTTTGTGAATTTACTTTTTCATATTTTTTAACCCCCTTAATTGAAATTCTACCTCTATCACTTCTCTTTATCACACGTCATTTTCACCCCAGTATTTCTTAATCATTTTTTTGAAAAAAATTTTTGAAAAAGTTTCTTAATGGAAAATACTTTTCTACATACCTACACATCCGTAAAAATATCTTTCTTCACTACACGCATAAAGTAAGTTTAAATCCTAACACAAATTTACTGAGGGTTACACTTACATCCATTCCTTCTAAAATATTTTTCTTCACTTGATGATTATGGTAGGGAAAGCTCTCATCTTATGAATTCATCACCTTGTTTGATATTTACATTAGTTCTAAATGCAGTTGTTGTAGAATTCCAAACACAGATACCTTTCATAGTATTTTTATGAATGAACAAACAACATTATATATTTGGATGATTTTTGGAGGCTCTTTGACAATTAGGAAGTCATAATGGCACAATTGGATATCTGATTAACTCATGGTGGCATCAAAACCTTCTAATATATCTATTATTTAGTCCCGAAAAAATACAATTCAAGTATATTTAAAATCATCGAAGCAGAGTTTTAAATATGAATATGGGGATAAACTGAACTTTAACACCTTCAGAATAATCGACCAAACTAGCTAAGATATTCAAACAATCATCGTTAAAGTTTCTCCTAACAACTTTATTACCTTGTATCTCTCTTTGTGAAAAATTACTACAACTAAATCTAGATCAGAGAAGTCTCATAGTATGTGAACAAATCCAAAATTACACTTGAACTCTACTAATTGTAGTCTTAACATTGAGAACTGAAAAAAAAAAAAGCAGTTAATATTATGAGGTGCATTTATAAACAACTCTTGGGTTTTGGGTGTTTAGATTAGCCCATTTATGCCTATAAGCCCAATATTATGGTGCACGTGTAAGACTTCCTTTAGTTCTTATTTTCAGAAGTTTCACAAGAGATATCAACAACCATATAGAGAGAAAATGTGAGAGAGTGCAGATTTTTACACAAGCTCTAGTAGTCAATTTCAAATCATGATTTTCACTTCGTTTCTAGTCCGATTAAGCTTATTTTTGGAAAACTTGTTCTTTTTAACTTAATCTTTGATCGGGAATTGAGAGAGGTGGATTTAGAGTCTTATAACCCATATTTCAGCTCGTAACAATAGTTGTGTTTGGTGATTTTACTCCTTTTCTCTAGTTTTTTTGTGTTATCTTATAGTTGTGTTGTTCACTGTTTGAAGCTTTTTTGTGGGCATTTTATAGAGTGCATTTCTAACTCTTGTAGATTATAGTGAGTTTTGTCCTTGTGGCTCTTACACTTCACCGCGAAGATGTTTTCGTAGGCTAATCTTGGTGTCTCATATATTGAATTTATTTAGCATTGCTATATTTCTTTTGGTTTATTTGTTTGCCGCCCCAAACAGTGTTTGTGCTTGATTTTATTTGTCTTATCGTGGTTCAAATAGAATAAAACGTTTAGATTGGATTTTGTTCTACTATTTCCGGTCATGCACATTTGGTTTTGCTCGTCTTTCTCAACAAAGTTGTATACGAGCATTAGGTTGTTGTTGGTTGTCTATTCAAATAATGGATTAAATATAAGCAAGATGGTTAATTTGAATGGTAGCAATTATCATATTTGAAGATCTTGTATTGTTAAGAAAATGCATTTACGTGTTTATGCTTCCAATAAACTCGAGTCTATGAATAATGATGATTGAGCACTATGATTTGTGGCTATATCAGACAATGTATTGAAGATAATGTTAGGAATCACATGCCAAAGTTTGTGGGATAAGCTTGTGACACTTTATGCTTTGAAGACTGTCAATAACTAGTTATTTCTACTAAAATAACTGATGATATAGAGAGAAGTCAACCCTATCATTTAAATGATATTCAGGGTGCCCCGACTAGTTGTTTGAAATGGGTGTAAAGTTTAATAAAGATATACATGGACTTTTGTAACTCTTCGAATTTCTTTTAAAATCAAATATGCGGTCTGGTTGCATTTAGGCACATAGAGCAAGTCTGATTCGTAGCATCAAATAAAAACATGACATTTTAATTTTGTATTTCCAAATCTTAAAATAATTGATACACAAGTGTTTTGTTTGATTACTAAAATACCTATACGAAAAAATTATTTATTGTTTCGCTCATATATATATATATATATATATATATATATATATATATATATATCAAATCTTAAAATAATTGATACACAAGTGTTTTGTTTGATTACTAAAATACCTATACGAAAAAATTATTTATTGTTTCGCTCATATATATATATATATATATATATATAACACCAAAATAAAAAACATATGTACATATGAAACTAAATGAAGCCGAATTCAATTAGTAGCATCTAACGATGATATAGCGAAGGTTGTTTGAAATCTATTTTTTTCTTTTTTGTAGAAATCCCTGTAAAGATTTCTTCACAGTTTGAGGTTGTAATAACGGCTCAGACATCTTGTATGTTTTCTCCTCTATTTCTCTACTTGCAAGATATATTATAGTTTTAGCCTGCATTTTAGAAAATAAGATTATACACAAAACAACTCATTAATTAATTGTTATAAGAAAACAAAAACACTTCATATTTTTATGGTCACAATCTCTGTGACAAAAATATATATGTTACAAAATTTTGCAAATATTCTTGTCGGCTGTCGCCCACCTTTTTGGACCATATTGAAGAAAAGCATAGGAAAATTCTACTTTGGGCCCAAAAAGTAAATGGTGTTATACAAAAAAATATATATATATTTTAATAAATTAGATCACCTTCAATGAAAATACGAACAAGTTGCTACTGTTTGACTTAGAGAAAAATAAAATATAACTTATAGTCAAAAATAATATCTCATTAAATATAAAAAGAGAAGTTATGAAATTGCCTTTTCGTTCCTTTTTTAAACGGATTAAAAAACGAAAAGTGAATAATAGCCATTAACAACCAATTAATTAAAGAGAAAAGAACTGGAAGCTAAATACACATACCTGAAGCTCAGTAACATGAGTATCCACAAATTTTCCATTGTAAAATATTGTTAGCTGTTGTAATTTCTTATTCTCGAATTCTTGATCCTCCTTAATAGGAGAAAAGGAGGAAAGCGAAAGAGTCTTCACTTTTTTTCAATTAACTTCACCTACACACAAAATCTGGGATTGAACTGAGATTTTTATACGTCAAATCGATATCGCTGTGTATATATTGTGTAATTGATAATCAAGATTTACTCGGAAGGTTTTTGGATGAAGTAATGATAATTGATATTTATTGGAGATGAAAGGGGACTTTGAATGAGTATATACAAGTAATTTAAAAGCCACGTTTTTTAATTAGTTGATAAAATAGAACGCCAAACGAACAATTTTGACAAGGACATGTACATTGTACACACTCTAAACACACATAGACAACGAATACAAACGCCATTTTTTTCGGCCTATATGGACCATGCACACAACTGTATAAGTCGGCCTTATTACTTATAATTCGGCCTTATTACTTATAATTGGATTCGTTTTTTCTTTTAGTTTTTCACCTGATGTTCCGTACTTATGTTAGAGATCGATTAAATTTAAATTTGCACCAAAGAGTTTCATATTGGGAGGTAAAACGTTCCCTAACAAAGGCAATTTCGTACCCAAGGGAAATCAAATGAGAAACCTTTTGATTAAGGATGACGGCGTACTTATCACTCCACCACAACCCTTATTTGTATAATTGTCTTATCAATACGTAGTTAGCCTTTTTAATTTTTTAGATAATCGAATTCAAGTTATTATTTTGACATAATACATAAATATGCCCTTTTAATTGGTTTCGAATCACATTTATGCTCATCAACTTTGGGTGTGCACAAGTAGACACTCAGACTTGTATAAAGTTGAAAAAATAGACACACATGTCCTACATGTCATTTTTTGTCATACGTGGTGTCTTACTTGCATTGTGTCATGTAGAACTCATGTGTTTATTTATTTAAAAGTTGGATAGTTAAAGTGCATGTTTTGTGCATTATGAAAGTTGAAGGACAAAGTTAAAATTTAAAGCAAGTTTAGGGTCCAATATATGTATTGTGTCTATTATTTTTTAATTGGGTCAATTATATGTGCTTCGTACGGAATTGAACTATTTTGTCAAGCTCACATATGATCATTTTGTAGTATTCGTATTTTTGATACATACACTATATTGTCAAGAACATTTTATCTCAAGGCAAAAAAACTCATGGGGATTTTCCTAAGAATTGATATGAAAATTCGCAAGAAAAAAGTTTCCTTTGAATTTTCATACTAATACTCAGGAAATTCCATTTAATTTACAGTTTTCTTGTAGTATAAAGAGTTATATTTTTTTATTTTGTTTTATTGGACAAAATATTAGGCATAATGCATAAATATGGCTCTTAGCTTGGCGCCGTTGACAACTATGACGATGTGCACAAGTAAACACTTAAACTTATATAAAATTGAACAAGTTGACACACATGTCCTACATGGCATGATACATGTAGGACGCCACGTAAAACACAAATTTTTCATGTAGGGTGTCATGTAGGACGAATGTGTCAATTTGTTCAATTTTATATAATTACTACAAAAGAAACCCCAATTGCCGACAAAAAAAATTGTTGGTAAATTGATCAAATGGGTTGGAAAATTGAGTTACCAACTAATGTCAACTTATATTAATCAGTTGCTAAAAGGCTTGTCGGTAAATATTACCAGTCGATTTTAATTTGTTGGTAAACTTCCAACCAAAAATCAGTTGGTAACACCAAAGATATTGTTACAAAATTTTGAAATATGGTCCTAAAATTTTAGTTGGTAAATTTACCAACCAATTTTGGGTTAGTATATTGTTAGTACCTTTACTAATGAATTGAAAAGGAGTTGATAAATTTTTTTCATCATTACGACAATTTATGTTGGTAGTTTACCAATATATTTTAAATACTTTTCTTTGGGGTTTCCCATCTAGTGTCGGATACCCATATTGAGGGTTTTCATCTGGTGTACGATACCTACATTGGAGCCTGACTAAATCCGAGTGATGTTGTTAGAAAATTTTGAAATATGGTCCTGAAATTTTCGTTACCAATTTTTTATTAGTATATCGTTAGTACCTTTACTAACGAATTGAAAAGGAGTAGGTAAATTTTTTTCATCATTATGAAAATTTATGTTGGTAGTTAACCAATATATTTTAAATACTTTTCTTTGGAGTTTCCCATCTGGTGTTTGATACACATATTGAGATTTTTCATCTGGTGTCCGATACCCACATTGAAGCCCGACTAAATCTGAATTCATAGAGATAAATTCAACATTGGGGAGTAAAGCACAACATCTCCGTACTCAAGGAATCAAATATGAGACCTCTTGGTTAAGGATGAAGGAAACCCTTTTTGATAATAAATTGTAAATATGTTCGTATTATTATTTATTTTTCTAATAAATTTACTAATTGATTGTTAGTTTGTTGGTAATATATCATTCATGTTCAATATAAGGTTAGTACTTGATTGACAACGTGTTCAAAATATTATTAACTAAATGATTATTCAATAGTAAAATATTATTAATTTATTGCATTTAAAAAGCTAAGAACAAGAATATAAATCCAAAAATATTAATATCAATTTTATAAATCAAGTTCGAATGAAACAATGAAAACCTATGATGACAAGTTAAATTAATCTCAATATGACAAATATCATCATATCAAAAATTTTAATTTGAGTGCGATTACAAAAAATATTGGTCAAATCTAATTTTTGACGAACAGTTAAAAGTTAAAAAGCGTAAGTAACATCACAAACCAAAACTGAAAGGCTAAAAACCTGAACCAACCATCCTATTTGATAAAAAAAATGACCTTCAGAAGTTAATCGTGCTGACGAAATTCTCATCAGAGCACGTTTCCAAAAAAGGTTAAGCAAAGACAAATTTTGACCAAAAGTTAAAAGTTAAAAGTTAAAACGCCTAAAGTACAAACTAATTATGAAACCCTCAAAATGCAAACCAACTATCTTATAAGACAAAAAATGATCTTCCAGAGCTACCACACTAATGAAATTCAAATTTGAGCAAGCTTCTCAAAAAAATTGACCTAATTTAAAGTTTAGCCATAAGTTAAAAAGTTAAAATGCTTAACAACACAAACTGAAAATAAAAGTGTGGAAACTCGAAGAAACCATCCGAGTAGACTCAAACTGAACTTATATGGCTAACCGCGATGACAAAATTTTAATTCAAGCACGATTACAAGAAATATTGACTAAAGCGAAATTTTGGCCAAAAGTTAAAAGTTAAAATGCCTTACGAAACAAACTAAAAATGGGAGCCACAAAATCCAAACCCTCTATCGTATTACATTAAAATGACCTTCAGTGTCTAACAGCACTGACAAAATTCTTATCTGAGCAAGTTTATCAAATATATTGCCGAAATTAAATTTTGGTCAAAATATATAAATTAAAACACCTAACGGCATACACTAAAAAATGAAAATCTCAAAATCTGAATCCACTATCCTATTAGATAAAAAAAATATTTGAAGTTCCTTATGACGACAAAATTTTCATCTGAATACGTTCACAAAAATATTGACCAAAGTCAAATTTTGACAAAAGCATAAGATTTAAAACACCTAACAACATAAACAAAAAATGAAAGCCTCAAAACATGAACCAACTTTCCTTTTAGATCAAAAATGGTCTTTCGAGACTAATGACACATACAGAGTTCTAATATGAGCACGTTTATCAAAAAAATTGATCAAAGTCAAGTTTTGGCTAAAATTAAAAGCTAAAGCGTCTAACGATACAAACTGAATATGAAAGCCTCAACACTAGGACTGATTTACCAAAAAAATTAACTTCAATTGGTAAATTTACCAACTATTCAATAATGAGTTAGTAATTAATAATTTACCAATAAATTCTATCATAGTTGGCAATAGTTACTAATCAACTAAAAATTCATACGTAATAGGGAAAATGGTAGTACCCCCCCCCCCCAACCTAATCTCGAAGTCCTAGAGACACACTTATACTATATTATGGTCCTATTACCCCCCTGAACTTATTTTATAAATAATTTTCTACCCTTTTTCGCCCTACATGGCACTAGCTTGAAAAAAATGTCAATATGCGTTGGGCCCACAAGCTAGTTTCGCGTAGGTCGAAAAATGGTAGAAAATATTTATAAAATAAGTTCAATGGAGTAATAGGACCTTAGTCTAGAATTTTGGGCATAGGTTAGGGGTACTTGAGCATTTTTCCTATGTAATATTACTAACTAATAATTAATATGTTGGTAAATTTTACCAATGGATTTATGATTAGTTGAAATATTACCAACTATTTAAATGAAGTTAGTAATTTACTTACTAAAATATTTATTCGTCGGCAAAATTTTCAACTAATTGGATATTGGTTGGCAAGTTTACCAACAAATTATATTTCGTTACTGATTTACCAACACATTTATATTTGGTGGTAATTTTGCAATAAAATCTTGTCGTTGGTAAATGAATGGTTAGTAATTTATTGGTAATATCTTAATAAATCATATAAATAATTTTTTGTCATATTTACCAACCGGTATACACTTCGTTGGTAATATTACAAAAAAAGGCATGCGTTAGTAATATTTCCATTGGTAATATATTGATAGAATGTTGCTAAATTTGACGTCATTTTTTCCGTCGTATTTACCAACTAAAATACTTAGTTAGTAGGATTTTGGTTAATAACTCAGTTTGAATTTCGTTGTTAAGTTCTAAAGTATAATTCAGTTAGAAATATGTTGGTAATTTGTAAGTAGAATACTAACCAACTTATGTTGTTGGTAAAATCTGTTGGCAATTTGAGTTTTTTTTTTTTGTAGTACAAGTTTAAGTGTCAACTTGTGCACATCTAAAGTTAAGGGTCATAGTTGTCAACTAACGTCAAGTTAAGGGTCGTGTTTATGTATTACGCCAAAATATTATGAGTCATAGAGAGATTTTAAGTAAAAGAAAGAAATCTAAGAAAATCTCCATGGAAATAGTTAGTCAGAAGTAACGAATTTTTTAAATTCCAGAAAGTTGTAAAGAATAACATCAAACGTGAAAGAAAAAAATCAAAAGACCTCGAACAACAACACTCCCAAGTAACGTGGAACATGTCAATTATTCAAATGGAGGACCTTCATCTCTTTTTTTATGTACCTCTACCAGTCTCTTTTTATTATAGTGTATCTCAACTAATTGGAGCCACTGGGCTATGCTTAAAATCAGTAAGAAATTATCTAAAAAGTACGACCCTTTATCCATGTTGGCTTACATTATTTATGAGAAGTGTGAATTTTATGAATTCACCCATATCGATGTTCAATACCACTCCTAATAATATTTAAAATCATGCGCTCAAATGTATAAGACATATCTCTTTCTCAATTTGAGATGATTAAACAAAAGATCCTTTTAAGAGAGGTTATACTTTGAGATATCTTTGAATTCATAAACTCATTTAGGAATCAACATTTCCCTTTTTAAATGTAAAAGTGTTACATTTGGAAATGCTTTGTTTGCTTATACCCTTTCTCAATTATGAATACGTTTCTTCTCATTCTTATATTTACTTTCTCAAAACTTCGTTCAAAATCATTGTCCATTAAAAAAATAATTCTCAAAAATACCTCTTAAACTTAATTCAATTTGGAATGTAAGTTAAGACACATAATTAGGACATGTAGGATCTCTCAAATATTAATGGAGCTTTTAGGAGCTAATACAGAAAAGAGAACATAGTCATGATTCAAAGGATCACGTTCGAAATGAAGTACAAAAAGAAAAAAGATCAAGCGACCCTAGCGTACTGCTGGCGTGGGTGTTAGG